GCCGCAAGGTGGGGAGGCCTATTTAGAAAAACACACGCCGGCGGGGCGCAAGCCCCAAAGGCACAAGCGTCGCAATGGGTTCCCTCTTAGAGGAGTTCCTGCGGGAGGAATGCCCCGAAATATGGGCAAAATTCCTGAATTTCGCGAGGGAACGGCGCCTAGCCGTCGAATTTGCTAGCGACAGTCCGGCTTCACCGGCTGCCGTCTCGCCGCCATCTCCGGTGCCCTCCGCGCCAGTTATTGTGTCGCCCTCTGCGACAATTAATACGCCCGTCGCGTCGACCTCCGCCGCCGCGATCGATCTCAACGCGCCTTCCGCGCAATCCAATTCGGCCCCCTTCTGCGCTGTCGTTCCCGACTCAAAATCGGACGGCGGCTCAGACATGGAGGTCGAAACGACCCCCGCTAATAACGCGAACGCCGACGGCTTCACCGTCGTCAAATTGCGGAAAAAGGGCAAGAAACGCCCCGCCACCGACAGCGACCCCGAAAGCGAGGCCGCCCCGTCAAACCGTCCCACCGCGACGCCCGCCAAAAAGGCAGCCGCGTCTGCCCAGTCGGAACCGACTTTCGCCTCCGAGCGAAAAATTAAGCCACCGCCGCCTATAATAATACAAGATAAAGCAAAGGGGCACCAGCTGGGTTCGTGGTTTGAACGCCACAACATCCGAGACCCCCGGTCCAAGAATACGCATATGGGTATCCGCGTATACCTCAATTCTTCGGACGACTTCCGTCGCGTAACTAAATACTTGCGCGAAGCTAAGGTAGGTTTCCACACCTACTCTCTACCCGAAGAGCGCAAACTTCGGGTCGTAATAAAGGGCGTCCCAAAAGAGTCGGATGTCGATATGGCTAAGGTCGACATCCGCACTCAGGGATACCCTGTCCACGCCGTGCGCCGTCTCAGGCACCCTCGCACCCGTGTCCCTATGGACATGGTCATGGTGGAACTTGACCCTACCCCGGAAGGTAAGGCCATTTTCAACCTCAAGAGGGTCTGTGGGCTCAGTGACTTAGTCATCGAGCCCCCACGTAAGTCACAGTGCCACAACTGCCAACATTTTGGCCACACGGCCAATAACTGCTTCGCTCACCCAAGGTGCGTCAAATGCACCGGTGACCACGGCACAACCGAGTGCACGAGGCCGAAAGATTGCGCAGATCCACCGGACTGCGTAAACTGTAACGCCACCGGCCACCCGGCTAGCTACAGAGGCTGCGCTAAGGCCCCGAAAACTCCTGCGAGGAAATCTCCCGCGAAATCGACGTTGCCCAAACCCGCGCCCGTTAAATTCATTCCCGCGCCCGTACCCGTCGTAAACGCCTGGGCGAAACCCCAGGTGGCCGCGCAGGTAACCGCGCCGGTAATCCCGGTCGCCTCACGACCGATCGCGAAACAGCTGCCCGCCTCTCAAACGGCGCCGCGGCCGCAGGTGCAGCCAATTCCGTCAGTTTTCGCGGAAAACAAAGACGACCCATTCGCGCAAATAGCGAACATTTGCAGTTTATTGGACACAATAAATAGACAGGAACTCGCCGTATTGTCCGCTAAATTAGCGGCCGCCACATCTGGCCACGAGCGTCTTAGGGCAATTAGCCAACACAAAACGCTTGTGGAAGCCCTTTGGGCTTTTACGAGCCAACCATAAAGATCAATAGTCCGCGCAATAAAACCGCGCTCCGCCGCGTCGTTAATTAGACCCATAAAGGCACCTTAATGGGAAGTACAACCGCAGGTAAAACAAAACCTCGGGCTCTGGTTGTTTCGTATTTCAACGCAAACGGCATAAAGGGTCAAAGGGATGAAAATCGCGGAATTCCTTCGCGATTATAATGTAGATATTTTCCTAGTGCAAGAGACATTCTTGAAACCTAGCGTACGCGATCCCAGAATCGCAAATTACAATATTGTCCGCCACGATCGGTTAGCAAACCGTCTGGGAGGCACACTAATTTATTATAAACGGTCCTTGCACTGTTGCCCGCTCGACATTCCAGAGCTAAATCAAATAGAGGCATCCGCGTGTAGGTTAGCGCTCACCGGCCACAGGCCGCTTGTACTAGTCTCAGCCTACCTCTCGGGGAATAGAACCCTCCTTCAAAGCGACCTAGATACGCTTCTAAACTTAGGCCCTTCCGTGATAATTGCAGGAGATCTAAACTGCAAACACGGCTCATGGGACATTAACAGCATCCCAAACAACAACGGAAAGCATCTCTTTAGCTTATCCGATAACCTAAATTTCAGCATAGTCGCTCCCGCGACTCCCACTAGGTATCCTACGGTGGACAACTACCAGCACGCGTCACCGAGTGTCCTAGACATAATGTTATTCAGGGAGGTCTCGCTCGACATCGAGTCGATAGAGACAATCCATGAACTAGACTCAGACCACAGGCCCGTCCTGTGTAAACTGGGCCAGAACGCCGGCGCGGTCCCTCCGACCAAATCCGTAGTGGACTGGCATCGTCTTGAGGTCAAACTCAAGGCCTTGGACCCCCAGAACTTAGTAGACTTACCCGAGACGATAGCTACGTTCGATGACGCAAATCGAGCGATAGCGAGTCTCCGTGAAACTATTACTTCCGCAGTCACAGACTCGGAACGGACGGTGAAACTGTCGGGCGACCGACGGTTTAACTTTCCGCCCGACCTACGACTGCTAATTAGACAAAAAAATGCAGCTAAACGCGCCTTCGACCGATACCGATCGGAATCGAACCGAACTCTACTTCGACGCCTTCAGCTAGAAGTCAAAGATCGTGTATCGGAACACCGACATACAACGTGGGACACTCTCCTAGAGGACATCGGAGCCATCGCACACCGCCTACTGGCGGTTGGCCCGCAGTCTGAAAGCAGACCCCCGCGAATCTCTACCGCCGTTAGTTAGACCTAATAGCGCTTCAGTAGCCCTAGATGACTCCGAAAAAGCCGAATGCCTTGCGGACAACCTAGAGCAGCAATGTACGCCATCGCGCGAACATACCGATTCGGCCCACCTAACGGAGGTGGACCGCGTAATCGAGACTAGGGCTGCGCTTCCACCGGAAGGCGAACCTCTAAATTCAGTGACCCCCGAAGAGGTCCAAGATATAATTTAAAAATTTAAAACCAAAATCCGCCCCGGGCCCAGATAATATAAGTAATAAGATTATCAAAGCTCTCCCTGGGCCGCTTATCTGTTTACTGGCGACAATTTTCAATACGCTTCTCTCCAGTTGCTCCTTTCCGGACGACTGGAAGCAAGCCACGGTTATCGGCATTCGCAAGCCGAATAAACCAGCCAATAAGCCCTCTAGCTATCGTCCCATCAGCCTCCTCAGTTGTCTGGGGAAGCTCTACGAGCGGCTATTGTTAAACAGGCTCAAAGAGCACGTATTTTCCAACGGCCTTCTGCCGACGGAACAATTCGAGCTAGACACTCTTGTCCAGATCAGTTATACCGCCTAACGGAGCACATCCTAAAAGGCCTAAACCACCCGAAACATATCAGTACAGGGGCTCTTTTCTTCGATGTCGCATAGGCATTCGACAAGGTCTGGCACAACGGCTTGCTTTACAAGCTGTACACACTCAAAGTGCCAGATAGGCTCGTACACACCATCCGGGCCTTTTTGTTGAACCGCTCTTTTCGATATCGAGTCGAGGGCACCCTCTCCACAAGCCGCCGCCTCACGGCCGGCGTACCACAAGGCTCCTGCCTCTCACCCTTGTTATTTACGCTCTACACGAGCGACATACCTAGAGACCCCCACGTCAATCTCGCGCTTTTCGCGGATGACACGGCGCTCTTTTACTCAGATCGCAACCTCAGCCAATTAACGACTCGACTCCAAAGCGCCGCCGACCGCCTCGGCGATTGGTTCCGCAAATGGAGAATCGATATTAACCCAGAAAAAAGTGTGGCGATTCACTTCACCCGTAGCACCCCCAACCCCCATCCGCCACACCGTTACAAAGGTCCTCGCCAGTACAGAAAGTTGGGGCAAATATCACTATACGGCCAAACTCTCCCCTGGGAGAAAACGGTCAAATATCTAGGAGTCACTTTCGACTCGCGTATGACTTTCACTACGCACATCAATCAAGTCCGAAATAAAGCCGCGTTCGTCTCCGGCCGGCTACACAATTTAACGAATAAACATAGTAAAATGCCCTTAAGGCACAAATTATTGTTATATAAAGCTTGCGTAAGGCCAATCGTGTCCTACGCATGCATGATCTTCGCACACATAAATCCTACGCGCATTGACGAATTGCAAGTAGTTCAAAGTAAGTTTATCCGCCGCGCAACCGGTGCGCAATGGTATCAGCGCAACGTCGACCTGCACAGCGATTGCAGACTCCCGACGATTCGCGCTCATTTTAAAGATTTGACAAAACGGTTCTTCGATAGAGCCCAGCATCATCCCAACCCTCTGGTGGTAAGCGCAGCAAACTACCTACCGGACACTAACGCGAACGTTAACAAGCGTCGCCCGCGAAACGTCCTCATCGACCCGGTCGACGAAGAGGACTTAGACACGATGGACCCACCGCCGGGGGTCCCGCCGGATAACACTACACCCACAGTTAGTGTAACAACAATCACACCAGTTCGCCCTCGCCTCCGAGCACGGCGAGACCCACACAACGCGTACACAAGGTACACCCGCGTTCCGGGGCGGTTCTCACCGCTCCCAGCCACCGATTAGCTAAATGCACAGTCGACGGCCGTCGGGGTCTCGGTCCGAACCGGCGACCTCGACGGCCCTTAGATGACACACCATAGTAGTTAAACGCACGCATGAGCACATGCGCGACCCTACCCATAGCGGAGGGTCCAAACCCGTGGGTTCTGGCTAGCCCACCGGTTCTGCGTCCGATGAAGCTTTAATAGTCTCGGGACTGAAAGCAATAACATCAGTTAATACAAGATACAAGATACAAGGAGGAGTCCAATATAAAGGTATCTAATGGCTCGAATCAGGCCTTTAGCTTCTTCAGTCGCACTATGCAGTTGTCAAATCACTGTAGAGAGGCAGATCATTTAGATGAAAGATGGTCTGACGCAATCAAGAAGGCAGCACGCACCGTGCAGTCCACTCAGATTATGAGCACACCCAATAGAGACGTATGGAGAATAAACGCAATGGAGACGGAGAATGTTATGTTGGGTGCAATCATCAATGCTCAGGGTCAGAAGAAGAAGAAACACTAATCCGTACATGTTACATAATCTATAATGTTAGACATCACTATTGTACTATATGCTGTAAAGATTGTAGAATTGAAAATATGCATTTATTAAAATTATGCGAATATTATCTTATATAACAACGCAATAACAAAAAGACAGCATTAAGCGGATATTGGATATTTACAGAAAATGTTATCTTATTTCAGAATTTTACTTTGTGTTCGGCTAATGCTTCTTCGGGTTACGGCTATAGTCCTACCTACGCATTAAATCCCAGTACCCCATGTAGGTGACGATAGTATTATTTTCTTTTTTTACTGTTAATTTGTTCCATTCTATTCCAAAAATAATTATGCGTATTTCTTTTTATACGAGTCTTAAAACTTAAGGAAAAGTAATCGTAAAACAGTTTTAATAAAGTTAATAATTACATTTATCATCATCATCATAATTTCAGCCTGTTTGAGTCCACTGCTGAACATAGGCCTCCCCCATAGACTGCCACGAAGTACGATCCTGAGCCACCTGGATCCATCGACTTCCCGCACATTTGCACAGGTCGTCACTCCATCTAGTGGGGGGTCGTCCCACACTGCGATGGCCAGTACGAGGCTGCCACTCGAGAACCTTTCTTCCCCAACGGTTATCGGTTCTACGAGCTATATGGCCGGCCCATCGCCACTTCAGCTTGCTAATCCTCTGAGCAATGTCGGTCACCTTAGTTCTACTGCGGATGTCTTCGTTACGAACTCTATCACGCAGAGAAATACCGAGCATAGCCCGCTATTATATTTATACTTTACTATTATTCTATTATTTTAATTTTTTAATAATTATTTAGTATAAATTCTAGAATTTCTAAAGATTATGAATCTTTTATCATATTTTTTCCTTGTTACCTGTCAACGAATGTTAACTATGAACTTAGGTACCTTTAATTGAAATCTGATGTATACCGGTTCGTTCTAAATCAGTTAATGCATATCTAAATATAAATAATATTTTCTAATGAAATGAAAATGATTATACATTACACTCCGTTATGAGCATTATAAAAGTATTGATGCGATATGCACTTTTCTATGGTCGTAAAGAAAGATAAGTGATAATAAGGTAATTGTTGATATATAATTTTCCTTTGTTTAGTTTAAATTGTTTAATATATTATGTATAAAATAGAACAGTGCAGATAATATACTTTAAAAAAAGCGAATTATAATATAATAATGAAATTTTACAAAGGTCCTTTACAATTATTTAAATACTGAACGGTTACCGAAAATAAAACACGTTTTATTTGCGTTTACTGATACTGAACTATTTTACAGATTTTATCGCTTTAAATTTTACTTTAAATTCGCGACGCTTGCTTTATACTTGATTTATCTCGATCGAAAGAGCCGTTGCTTCATCTGCATTCCTACTGACGCTTTTTACAGGGTTTATTTACTCGCCCGGAGCTGCATGTAAGCTTGCAGATGGAATTTTCTGAGGAAAGTAAATATAGTGTCAATACTGTCGCAATATCTTAAAATGGTAACAAAACTGTTGTGTCAATCAATTGAGATCGAAAAGCGACTATAAATTTACAATATTGGTAATTTAAAGTAATTTAATTAAAATAATCCTTTAAGTTTAACAGAAATACACGTGCTAATATACAAATATGGAGTAGAGTTTTTTCAAAGTAATTAATAAATGTCACCGGAATGAATGTCACCTCAACATGGTGACCTTCGTTGTGAATAAATTTAACCCATTAGAAGTAAGAATTACTATTATTAATAGCAATACCAATACTTATTGTTATATATACAGTATTAAGTAAGTATTATTACTTTTAAGATCTTTTGAAATAACTAATATTTGTGGTAGGGCAACCACGCAACAGCTTTAACTGTTGTACAAATGGACAGGTTTGTCGGGGGAAGTATGGCTTCAATTGTAACACAGGTCTCACAATACCTCCACTTCACGGGCGTGATGTTGAGGCATTTTAGTTTTTGTGTTTCGTTTAGTAAATGTGGTCCACATTCTTGCCGGTTGGCGACGCATCTACAGGCCCACAGGCTGGGACATTTCGATATTGGTAGGGACCAATATCAAAATGTTTTCATTTCCAGGGGGAAACGATATCCAATGCTGCGCACAATTTTGAGCTGAGTTATTGTTGCTTGGACTGTGCTTGGCCGGCCAATAACATCCCTTGTCCTTGCGATACCGTCCCCAATTCTCTATCTCCATGCAGTATCCCAGCAGTGTGTTTTGCCTTATAAAACGTCCAGTCGATGGAAATTTGGTGCCAACAAGTGTTTTTATTTCTTATTATTTACGGTAAATCCACAAATATCTCGATTTTATTGCAAACTGAATGAACTTGATTATTTAAGTTGGGATTCTGATTTAAAATTATTCCTAAAATCATCTCATTTGTTACTTTTATCAAATTGTAAGAATTTTATTTGGACTATATTTATTTTTAAAATTATTAGCGCCTAACCATTTAATTATAATTAATGTGTCAAGAACAGGTGTTTTCAGAAGGTTAGTAAGCTGAAGTGTAAGAGTTATATATACTGTAAGTATTATATTATTTATTAACTTTTATATTAAGTTTATAATAAATCATCTAACTGGAACATTAAAATTATCATTTACACTACACTATAAAAGGTATACCGCTCTATGATTTCCACTTAACTTTGGCTGTAATTGAAAATCAATGTTTACTTCCATCCTAAATAAATAGTCGTCAATCAAATTATCATTAAGATATTCGTGATGACAAACGCCTGAAGCAATTGAGCCTCTGCCGAAATTATAACTGTAAATTGAATTAAGCCTATTTAACAACTAAGTAAAGGATCGATTACAGCGTATTTCCATAGAAATTTCGTTCCTAGACCCATATATCATGCAGAATCAAAGTTTTTTCTCGTAGCACATAACAAAATTGTGTACCATAGTTCATTGCACATATTATAGAAAAATAACTCTTTTTCTATAATATGTGCAATGATCTAAGCGTTAAAATCATGTTTTATTGTTTGATAGACTCACCTGGACTAAATTATATCATTATGTCTATACGGGATATTATGAAATCAGCACAAAATTTTAAAAACATGCATGAAAGAGATTGTTTCTACGCATCTGATTAGCCTATCGCTTTCTTCATTTTTGAACTATTAAAAGTTTTTGTGAAAAAAAGGAAGAAAACACGGTATCATTAATAATCGCCCCATAATATTATTTTTATAAAATATTTTCATTCAATGTATATATATATATATATATATATATATATATATATATATATATATATATATATATATATATATATATATATAGACATTCCGTATTTAAGCTCTTCCACGGTGAAATGCAAAACCGGTTAGTCAATTGCGCAGAATTGCTCTATCAAAAGTGAAACCAAAATGTTGATGACATCGTAATATCAATCCATTAAATTCGTTTCGCATCCTGAAGTCGTAATACCAATCGTTTAATGGATTGGTATTACGACTTGAGGATCGCATCATCGCAGTACTGACCCCTGTTTTGAATTCGAACATTTATCATGGTGATCAATCGCCAGGGACACATAAACTTCGCGAGTTTTACGGCGGATTATGATTCATCCTTCAAATAGATTCAATTACAAAAATAAAAAATTAAAAGCCTAACGACCCAATAAATAATTTTGCAATATGCATCACGTAATTTATAGACTATATTGAACAAGATTTAAGACTCAACTCAGTCAACGGGAGTTACTATTATCTTTATTTAATACTAGTTACTTTTACTTATTTTCTTCCTACCGTATATATATGTCAGGAGTGGGCTTTTCTTGTTATTACTGTAAGTACATAAGAACCAAATAAAGTTTTGACTTCTTTTCTAATTCAGAGTGATTTTAAACTTCGGTGAGGATCCTTAAAAAGGACTTACTTTCATTAAATTCTTTCTAACGTATAAAATTTATTCTTTTTAACGTATAAAATTTGCAAGACCAAGATTCCATGTAGGACGTGTCATGATATTAAAAATTATAGCGAAACGCCTTTGAAACAAAATCAATATTACACCTATCATTTTAAGAACTCAGATTTGCATTAAATTTTTGACCAAGTCATGATTATTCCCGTGCAGTACTCGCTTTCTTATCTTTCTGTAGGTTAAATGAAAAAGTTTAGGAAACTTGTCATTCCGAAAAAATTTAATGTCGTATTGTCCAGGAGAACCGTTTAAAAATAACCATAGCTCGGCCACGGCGGTATATGTTTGCTAGTATACATGTATCCTACCTTGAAAATAACGACTTCATCGTCGTTTAAGGCCGGTGACGCATTTGTTAATTCTCTAGTATTTTGATTGTTCATGGGATCACACCCATAAAAAAGACACATTTCCATAAAAGTTACACATTTAGGAATCGTAATTTCTTTCTTATTTCTTCTACTAAACTTGTGTTGAAGTCTTACAAAATATCACAATCACTTCTGAGATCTAATCGGCTGTCTTCTAATAAGCGTTCAGAGCATTTAGGAACTATTTTTTCAATACTGAAAGTTTTGTATGATAGTCAAGTAAGTAGTCAAATATACAGTGCACATTATAATACAATAGTAATTTTTCTATATCAATCACATACTATCTAAGGAATCTAATCCGTAATGTGAGCTGCTATAGCATGCGTATATAAATCACTTAGATACTTGTACATAAAGATAAAGGATTAATGGGAAATATATTTTTGTATGTAGTGTTAGTAATTTTGAATTGTTTTATTTCAATGTTAGCTATTTGTCGTCGATTACGAATGGTTTGATATTAACATAATATTCTAAGCATACTTTTTAAAGTACCACTACATTCATTAATATGCAGTAAAACTGCATTGTAATGAAAAATCTTTTTCATCTTTGGTTCCCAAAATTGTATCAAAGTGTGTTTAAATTTCCACGAAAGCATTTGCAATGTACCTACTATCAATTTGTCTGCGAACATTAATT